TCTGACCCATCGCTTAAATGGGATGGGTTCTCACATTATTCTACAAGTTTATATATGTATTACCAGATGTGAGAATACAGCCTGTACCCATCATAACTGTATTTGTAGTTTGCCGACTGCTATTTCAACACCAAATTTATTTTTGTCCCATGAAGTAGGAGGGAGTAGGAAATGTGTACCTCATTTTCTGCCATGATATTGTGTTTTCATTTTCAATAAAATAACTAAGAATTCAGATGTGACATCAACAATAGAAAAACTTAAAATTTTGTTGTAAAAAACTGTTCTGTTGGAGACAGGCCACCTCCATATTGGGATGGGATGGAATGTGATGCAAGGAAAGAGAAGGACAAACTGTTTCCGACATTGTATAATTTATTATCGGTCTTAAGAATATGAAAATGAATCTTTCCTTAACCTTTAACTGCCGGAGTTTTGAAACGCAGGTAAAGCTAGCTGACCGGGGTTTGATTAAATGCCCACTGCTTGCAGGGGTTTAAATCCACGTTTCTGCTCTACGTTTAAGTGCCAGTTCCACTTAAGCACTTGAGCATTGTATTCGGAATTGCTCTAATACAATTTTTATGATAAATGAATAGAATTAACTAAAAAATTCTTCACACAGCAGTTCTGCAGTATAAAAATTTTCCGCTCTTACACACAACAGTTCTGCAGCATTAAATCTTTCCTGTTTGTAACACTTGGGCATGTTAGCAGAAATCCCATGCCATAAAAGTGTGCAGGCCATAAGCCTATATATTTCTATCTTCACAAATTCTCAGCTTATTCAGGGTATTTGGTGGAAGTTGATACAAAGGAAAATTGCCTGCCCCCTACTTTCTTTGAAAAACCCTTATTGCTGCCAAACAAGCGTCCTCCATTTACTGGATCTGACGATTCTGAACAGTTTCATCCTGTGGTGCGAAACTGTCACATAGGGACTTTCGTCTTACCCTTAAGCGCAACATGCTGGAACATGCTGTAATGTGTCGCTCCCAACCACAACGCCCATTACCTCCTGCTCTGTCATCCACAATATTTCGTCTAGAGGAGGCCAATCGACATCACTGGCCGACCTTTTGTGCCATGAGAATGAAATGCCGTGTTTGTTCTGCACGTGGAAAGAGGAAACGTGTTCAGATGAAGTGCGAGAAATGTGATGTGGGACTGTGCATTCTCGGGTGCTTCAAACAGTACCATACAAAAGCAAAATTTAGTTAGACNTAGACGACGCAGGGAAGTAGCCTGTACAACCATGAAACAGATAACAACAAAAAAGGTATTGTACATTGCATTTACTGCCAAAGTAATGGGATGCTTTTAAGCCATTTAGAAAAGAACCGGGATGCCATCCTGCCCCACCTCAAGCCCTGCTCTAACCTATATTCACCTTAGATATTTCTGTCAGGGAGCTCAGCTGGGCAACTGGGGTTAGATTCCTGGCTGAGGCAAGAGTTTTTTCTCTTCATCCTAAAGTCCATCTAGACTCCTGTCCAGTGGTACCAGGATCTGTGTCTTCGGGATTAAAGCAGCAGGGTCATGTAGCTGACCGCTTGCCACTGACCATCTAGTGCCAAGGTTAAGAATGATGGAGCTATACCTCCACTCCCCCATATGGCTTCATGGCATAGTAAAGTAAAGTAAAGGTATCCTTGTAACAGGCTGTAGAGGCCCATAGGGCTGTGAGACGTCAAGGCTCCCACATTTTCTAGACAATCAGCTCACAGATGGTGGTGAGGTTGTCAGCCTTATGCACTGGCTGCCCTTTAACCCCAGGAATATTCCTGGTACTCATTTCTGTTAGAGGCTGAGTCGTCCCCAGTGCCATAGTGCAGCTGGAAGGATTAGGTAAATTGAAAAGATCCACCTCATCGGGATTTGATCTCGCAACCTTCCGGCTTGTAGCATAGTGCCTCAACCAACTTAGTGCCTAATTATATAATTAAACACACGGATAACTAGACCTTTTACATTTTTTTATATATGTCAGAATTGTACGATTAGATCTATTTTACCAAACCTATTTGCACTATGGGTGGTAATTCATTTAGTTAGGAAAGTGGTAATGGTTATCATTTTATGGGATGTATATGGGAGTCCTGGTATTATATAAGTTACATATTTGCACGTCTTCACAGCATACTTAATCTACATCCTAAGGTTAAGATTAGAAAGGCATATTTCAAAACGTTATTTTGTATTGGATGTCTGCTTAACTTGAGGTGTGTAATGTACCTTGGCAGTCTAAACTTCCATATAAGCAGTAATCTATTCTTACTGTTGTTCAAGTATGCACAAAGGATAGAAATACAACTGTGTGTCACTCTTACTTAGGCAATAAGTAGTGTGAGAAGGTTGAAATGAAAGTATTATGGTTTTTACAGCATCCAAATAGAAACATGAAAAATCTTCTGAGGTTATACCTTCTTTTATTACCATATATTTCTCTCTTCCTATTTGTAGGAATGGCAGTGGAAGATGCAGTGTCAGCAAAGCTAATATATGATGAATACAAAAAAATTAAAAAATTATAATAGTTCAAAATTTTAGTGGAACTGTATACTTTTCCACTTGATGCCACAGCTATACTGACATATTTGTATCTGTGAAGTACAATTATTTGTAATAATAATTTGGTAAACATTCAAATTACACTTGGTCATTGTTAATTTGGTATTACCGTTGCTAAGCATTGACACAGTTCTGCAGCAATAATCTATACAACCTAAGGACTGCAATTTTAATTTAGTGACCTTATTTTATATATTCTGATGACTTAGATGATCTTCATTCCTTGGATTGCATTTTCCAGTGACTGAAAAATAAAACATATCAATTACTTATTTACTTACTTATGGAGCTGAGTCCTTCTTGAGAAGCCAAATCTGCAGCTACTTAAGAATTTCCCAGAATTTTATGGAACCCGAAGATTCATTACCATGTTCACAAGAGCCCTCCAATGGGTCCTATCTGGAGCCAGATCAATCCAATCCATACCATCCTATCCTACCTCTCTCAGATCCATTTTTATATTGTCCACCCACCTATCCCTTGGTCTTCCCACCAGTATCCTATATGCATTCCTCTTCTCCCCCATTCATGCTACATGCCCTGCCCACCTCATCCTCCTCGACTTGATCATTCAAATTATACTGGGAGAAGAGTACAAGTTATGAAGCTCCTCATTATGCAGTTTTCTCCAACCTCCTGTCACTTCAATCAGTTACTATGCACGAAAAATAAAATGTAAGGACAAAAACCCGCTTCCTTTCCTGGCTACTAAAATAATTTTGTGTGTACATCTTTCATCTCAGTCATGATGACAACTGTTCTGCAAGAAATAGTTTATTATCTACTACTCCATACCATAATGTTCTAATAGTTTCCCATACTGGATTTATTGATGTACTGTAGATTTTAGTAAACAACGGGATTAAAAAACCATGGAACAGTACTTGTTGATGCTATTAGCATACCTCTGCAGCCATCCACTCAAACAGTTTAAGGCACATTTTACTTGTAGCTGGTACTACAATGCAGTGCTTTATAAAAAGGGAGCTGTGGGCCCCCAGAGGGCAATGAATCTTATTTTTGGAGCCCCAAAAATGACCTGATGGATTCAGTTTAATCCTTAAATGCCACATTAACACATTGCAGACCGGCGATTTAAATATTTAAGTCACCCTGGGGCCGCCATTATTAAACATACTATCCTAACTTGTGCACTGTTCAATTTAAAAATTAATATAAAATCTCCTAATTAATTTTATGAACTACAATTTTTGGAGAACACTTACCAATGCTCCTAGAAGTGCTTGAGGGTGTGATATTTCTGGAAACATTCCCCTTTGTGAAGTGGCATTACACAGAACTTGCAAATGTAGACATACTACTTTTTTTGTGAACTGTGCAAACATGGCATTGCCTAGAATGATGCTTCCCTGTGGAATGTTCACTCTTCACAATTTTCACGAGGGTATGTTTCCACATATCAACCGAGAGTCACCCTGGGGGTCCACATGAGGCCTGCGTGCGGTGGGAGTTGATGGGCCCAGTTGCACTAAGTCTGTGTCTGACTCTGGTTCTGCCATCACCATCTGGTCTGTAGCCCAGGCTTTGCCACATTCATCAGAAATGTTTTGTATTTCAATTTCAAATCAGGGTTTAGATTTTTGTGATTTTTTTAGATTTTTTACTGTCCCCCCAATTTTATTATCCCCATTATCATCGGAGCTAGTGTCACTTTTACTGTCTGCGGCCTCAATTCTTTGTTCTTCCCTGTCATTGCTGCTCTCTGAATCACCATGACTACGCGTCTCACAAGGCAGGCCAGCTAGCTCATCAGAGAAGAATTTGTCCTTGTCCATACCCCAACACTGACTACTGGCTGATACATACAGCTCGAAGAGCAGCAAAGCATTTTCGTTTAGAGTGGGTTAAGAACACAACGAGGTCAAGTTACTGACAAGTAAGCACACATTCCAGAGTTTTATTATGCCATTGCGTGCAACTTGGGTGATGCCAGAGCAAGGTATAGTGTTACAACCTAACGTGACCTAAAATCATGATATCATGCGACCGGTCCTCAATGTGTTAAATTACAAATCTACAAATTAATATGAGAAGTAATTCACATATTAAGTTCCATTAGTGATTACTGTTTGAAACTGCTAAATTATAATTAGTCATTTTTAGAGACTGCAGGGCCCAAAACTTGTTTATTTCACATCAAGACTACCTCAGACTAGAAACATTTTGGAACTCGTGGAACTACCTGCAAGTCCCATATAACAAGCTGACCATCCAGTCCACTTGTACTGAGGCTTGAAGCGGATCCCTTGGTTCCCTTGTAGAGACACAAGCATGTAATGGCATTCTGATGGATTGTTTCTAATGTGGTATCACTTGTTTCAATACGGGCTTGCCGGTCAAGACTCTGGAACTTACGCATGGCACTGTAATCAAATATAACTCAGTAGTAAGTTCATTCTGCACTCTTCCTGTGACAATTAAGGGTTATACTCATATATTTTGCTGTGTTACATCTCAGAGGGAATTTATAAATCGTTAGCATGAAGAAAGGAGGAGGAAGTTTTGTGGCTTACCTTTATGAAATCTCTGTTAGTTTAGAAGAAAGCAGTCTTCTGGGATTTGGCACCGTGTATATGTGGTGTCAAGCAGATTGCTTGACCGTGTCTCACGGTGTTGTCGCTTGCAGATTTACCTATACTTCTTCAACCCTGAAGATGGGGGCGATACGTTCCTCCGAAACGTCGGTTAACACCACATATACACGGTGCCAAATCCCAGAAGACTGCTTTCTTCTTAGTCACCGCCGTGAAAGCCTCAAATCTTACATTCTGTTAGTTTACTTCGTTCTCAGTTTGTAACACAGAATTTAGGCCATTTTTCTGACACAAAACAAATTCATCTAATGTAAAATGGCCATTTAAGGTTTGGGGGGGGGGGACAATGAATTTGGACACTAAACTGAAGAAAACCTTAAATGTAGCAAATTTAACACAGAGAAACTATTGATGTGGGCCCCCAACGAAACTGAACAGTCAATTAGGGGAAAAGCTTCAATGGTGGTTCCTCTGCAATAGGATAAAACTTGACTTTACATACCAAAAGAAATATATCTAAGGGGTTTCTGAAGACAGGCAAAGCAACTTTTAATTTTTCTTAATTAGTTTAGTATATTACACTCACCTCAGTCCACCAGCTTCTTTCTTTTGTGAAACGTCCAATTTGCAGTTCAGGTACAACTGTCCAGAATCATTTACAGAGTATAACATTGGACAGCAGCTGTGACCCTAAATGAAGCAAAGAGAGCTTAATAAAGAACTGACCTATCTGTATAATTCCAGACTAAAGTTTCTCTAATTCTGGACATTTTATGCTTTTTCATTAATTATTAAGTTTCAAAGGTCACAACGGCATATATTGTAACTGAAGGAGGCAGGCTTCCGATATGGAGATAGCGGTAAAGTAAGGGGCAGGTGACAACCCCCAGATTGGGGGTTGTATACAGATCTAACAATCCATCACAGCAGAAAATTAGTATGCTACAACAAACTGTCACAAAGGACAAATATCATGTTTTTGGACATTATCCATTGTCCTGTCTTTATCTAGAACATTGTACTGTTTATTTTTTGGAGTTAGTGGGAGTACAGGAGGTAAGATGGGATGGAGGTGGCATCGCACCAGCATGAGAAAATACATTCTTCTATGGAAATGGGAATGAAAATCATGAATCAGGTACAGGTTTTTTCATACACAAGAATCATATCAGCAGTTAAGAGGGTAGAGTTTGTTAGTGATAGGATATCATATATAATACTAAAAGGTCGCTGGTGTGATATCATTGTTATGAATGTTCACGCCCCAACAGAAGATAAAATTGATGACATAAAGGACAGATTCTCTGAGGAACTATAACATGTATTTGATAAATTCCCGAAGTACCCTATGAAAATTTTGTTAGGAGATTTCAATGCCAAAGTCAGGAGGGAAGACACTTTCAAACCAATGATTGGGAATGAGAGTTTGCATGAAATTAGTAATGATAACGGAGTTCGAGTAGTAAGCTTTGCCACATCAAAAAATCTTGCTGTCAAAAGTACAATGTTCCCACGTTGTAACATGCATAAATTTACATGGACATCTCCTGATGGCAAAATACACAATCAAATAGACCATATTTTGATAGATAGGAGACGGCACTCAAGTATACTTTCTGTCCGATCATTCAGGGCAGCAGATTGTGATACTGACCACTACCTGGTGGTGTCAAAGGTTAGGGAAAGGCTGGCAGTGGGCAAACGGACAACACGCGGAGTTTATGTGGAGAGGTTCAATCTTGGGAAATTGAATGAGGTAGAGGGCAAGGAGTGGTACTGTGTTGATATCTCAAATAGGTTTGCAGCTTTGGAAAACTTGGAAACCGAGGTGGATGTTAAGAAAGTTTGGGGAAACTATTAGAGAGAATATAAAAATGTCTGCCAAAGAGAGTCTAGGTTATTATGAACCAAAGAAGTTAAGCCATGGTTCGATGAAGGATGCCAAAATTATTAGATCAAAGAATGCAATCCAAATTGCAATGGTTACAGGATCCAAGCAAGTTAAATAGGGATAATCTGAACAATATAAGACGTGAAACCAGCAGGCATTTCAGGAACAAAAAGATGGAATATCTGAAAGACGAAATTGATGAGCTTGCAATGAACAGTAAGTACAAGAACATTAGCGACTTGTATAGAGGAATAAATGACTTAAGAGGTGTTAACAACCTAGCAGTAACTTAGTGAACAATGAGAATGGTGATCTGCTTGCAGATTCCCACAATATTTTGAATAGGTGGAGGAACTACTTCTCTCAGTTATTGTATGTACATAGGGTCAGTGATGTTAAGCAGACAGAAATCCATACAGCTGAGCTGTTAGTACCTGATCCTAGCCCTTTTGAGGTTGAAAGTGCTATTGCAAAATTGAAACGTTACAAATCGCCAGGTAGTGATCAAATTCCGGCAGAACTTATTCAAGCAGAAGGCAAAATATTACATTCTAAGATCCACAATCTAAGTACTTCTATTTGGCATAAGGAAAAATTGCCTGATCAGTGGAAGGAGTCTATTATTGTACCAGTTCACAAGAAGGGCGATAAAAGTGACTGTAGTAATTATCGGGGGATATCTGCTATCAACTTCATACAAAATTTTATCCACTATTTGTCTCTCAAGGTTATGTCCATATATACAGGGTGTCCCAGGAGGAATGGACCAAACTTCGGGAGGGTGTTCCTTATGTTAAAGTATGCCGATATAACCCAAAACACCTATGTCCAAAGTTGAACGGTTACGGAGATAATGGCCCAAGAAAAGTGTGGTCTTCTGGCAGGTCCACGCACTGTACCTCTCAGCTGAGAGGCCTTATCTATGTTTGTCCTTGAGTGCGATGATTCACCGTAGCCGTGCTTATGTAGTTGGCCTTATCAGAACGCGCAGTCAGCACATTAAGTCAGCGCTTGCCATTCATGTGTCATGTATAGTGCTTGGAAACCCTAAGGACAATTATGACATGGCGAGCGAGTATTTTGTACTTCAATTTTATGGCTTCATGTCACTCACAAGTTAGTTTGATGTTACGTACATTATTAACATTACAGAATCCACATATTCCTGCCAGTTTTAATATGTATTTTGTAATCAACAAGCGTGCAACGCCGGTCAAAGTTTGACACTTCTCTGGCCATTATCTCAGTAACCGTTCAACTTAGGACATAGGTGTTTTGGGTTATATCGGCATACTTTAACATAAGGAATACCCTCCCGGAGTTTGGTCCATTCCTCCTGGGACACCCTGTATATGAAATTATGTGGGATTATCAGTGTGGGTTTCGACGTAACGGATCAACTACAGATCAGATCTTTTACACTCATCAGATATTGGAGAAAAAATGGGAGTACAGTGAGACAGTACACCAGCTATTTATAGACTTCAAGAAAGCCTGTGATTCAGTTGGGAGGGAAGTATTGTACAATATTCTGACAAGAGTTCGGGATACCCATGAAACTAGTTAGGTTGATTAAAATGTGTNGAAATTATGTGGGATTATCAGTGTGGGTTTCGACGTAACGGATCAACTACAGATCAGATCTTTTACACTCATCAGATATTGGAGAAAAAATGGGAGTACAGTGAGACAGTACACCAGCTATTTATAGACTTCAAGAAAGCCTGTGATTCAGTTGGGAGGGAAGTATTGTACAATATTCTGACAAGAGTTCGGGATACCCATGAAACTAGTTAGGTTGATTAAAATGTGTTTAAATGAAACGTATAGTAAAGTCCGTGTATGTAAACATTTGTCTGATAAATTTCCTATCCAGAATGGTCTAAAACAAGGAGATGCTTTATCGTCACTCCTTTTCAACTTTGCCTTAGAATATGCAAGTAGGAAGGTCCAGGGAAACCAGGTGGGACTGAAATTAAACGGGACACATCAGCTGTTGGTCTATGCCGATGATGTGAATCTACTGGGTGATAATGTAGATACCATAAAGAAAAACACACAAACTTTAATTGACGCAAGTAAAGAGGTTGGTCTAGAAGTAAACACAGAGAAAACTAAGTATATGTTACTGTCTTGTCACCAAAATGCAGGGCAAAATCATGATGCTTTCCAAATACTCACCGCTGCAACCAATGAATTTGGGCCAACCCAGACACAACTTAGGAATGGAAGGAACTCAGTACGTAACTTGCTCACAGCCATCTGTCGAGTTGCATCAGCAACAGAAACAGAAGAATCATGTCCCACCCAGCACACACGATTCCCATCTCCAGAGAATGCAACACTATGTACCCAACCACCTATGGATTGATCACATTAACTTATAATGCCTTCTATGTACATTATCAGCTGTTCTTAATAGTTCATACAACATTAGAACTGTTACTTTATGCTGCATTACCTCATGAACCTTTCCCTTCTCTTACTGTGTCGCCATAAGGGGAGAAAAGGACTCTTTTTAAGGGTCTGTGTGAAAACTAATCATCACTTTATTACTGTATAAAATGGAAGAGATTACAATGAAACTTACTCTTATTTGGGATACCCAAATCTGAGACAATACTACACTGTTTAATTTTTTCTTTTTAATTTTCCCTGACCAGATGAATAAATGTGTAATTACTGATATTTTTATTAGGATTATCATATAGTGGGGACCGCCTCTGTGGTCTAGTGGACAGAGTTCCTGTCCTAGGTTCGATTCCCGGCGCTACCAGATTTTCTGAGAAGTAGTGGGTCTGGAACGGGATCCACTCAGCCTCATTGAGGATATCTGAGGAGCTATTTGAAGGAAATTGCTGCTCCGGTTTAGAAAACCGAGATTACCGACCATGGGGATCCGCTGCGCTGACCACGTGACACCCTCTATCCTCTAAAGTTGGCACTAACTTTGCCAACAAGTGGCTGTTGCTCTGTCGGTATAGTTCGCTTGGGGACTACAGGCCACAAAGTTTTTATCATAGTATAATTATTATGGTAATATTCTTCACTGATGTAAGTGTACAAAATAGGAAATCAAATACATATAAATTATACAGTTATTTATATTAAAAACCTTCTTAAGTTCAGTAATTTATTTCATCGTTCTATTCAATACAGCTTTACCAACAATATTTAATATTTTCAATCTTTCAATCTTCTGAGCCCAACTAACAGTACATTACTAGGAAAAACTAATGAAGTCAAACTTCTTACATGGGTTTAATTATATGCATAACTCTAACTATGCAAACAGAACCAAAATATTTATGGTATAAACAATTTTAAAATACATGGGGATTGTCATAATTTTTAAAATAATATCAATATCTCTCACCTCCACCTGATGAGTTGGGGAACTCTGCCAATAACTGGCCCAAAGACATTTTCATTCCCCACGGTGAAGGCTGAGGCATTTCTTCTATATCCTTTATAAATGCAGAAAACACCCGTACCTAGAAAAATATTAATAATTTTCTATTCTTTTTTCAAACTTAACACTTATATTTCCTCATATAATGCATGCCCTGAGAATGGTATTATTTAAATCACTGCAAACATAAATTGCAGGAATGGAAAGACTCTTAAGCAAAGCATCTACATAGATGGAGCAAAATACTCTGAAGATGCAAGCAGTACATTCATACAAATTATAATGAATGATCTACCACAGTATACAGTTTCACTTCTCAGAAGACAAGAAATCCTGTACTTTTCTTTCTCTCATAAGGTATCTACTATGCAAACTGACACATATGAAAATATGTTTCATCTACAATTATACAGGGTTATTCATAAGTCTGTGAAACATTTTGAAAATTTACAATAAATAGACTATGCAATGGATATCAAATTTTGTTATGCTGAAATAGAGATAAACTCACAAAGCTTTTTTATATAGTTCACAAATGCTCAATGTGTCCACCACTGCTGATATGGCGGACATCTATGCGATAATCCATTGTCCCACACCTGTGTCAGCATATCACGGTTGACCAGAGCCACAGCAGCGGTGATATGGTTGCAAAGATCCCTGAGATTAGCAGGCAATGGAGGCCTTTAAAAAAACTTGGAGAGATTCATTCTCTATTGGCGTAAGAATTACCATGATCCAATGCATAGTTTATTTGTTGTGAATTTTTAAATGTTTCACGGACTTATGAATAACCCTGTATATATGAAAAATGTATTAACTTTACTCATTTGTCTCTCTATATTTTAACTCTTTCCTACAGTAGCTTCCATTCTGGCAAGTCTAGAATACATAGCAAATCAAAAGTCAGTTTAAGCCCACAGATTAAAGTGGCAGTCTAAACAGGCCGTAGTCATTAGAAGTACTATTTTATGCCTCTATTTCAATGAGAGTTCTCAGACAAAAAAAAAATTACCTTAAAATCAGCAGAGCCTGCAACAAGCAAGACATTATTTGGATGCCAGTCAATTGAAGTGATTGTTGAGCGAATGGGTTTCTTTATGTGTTTTGATACCCACCAGTCATTCTCACTTTCAAAATAGCAAACCGAGATCAGTCTAGCTCCAGAACCCACAGCAAATTTGTTCTCTGGTAAAGAATAAACAATGAAGCAAAATATTAGCTGGCATCAAAATTGTAGACATTTTTGTACATGTAGATTCTAAAGGGTTCTGAAGATGGTGGATGACGCACAGAATTTATGAAATGAAGGGAAGTGGCTTAGAATTAGTGCAGACTGATGTGAAAAGGAAAACCAACCAAAAGTGTTTCAGAATTCTTACTTAACCTATGACTTCCATACAGGAAGTAGAAATGCAAACTGTGGTTCTTCATTCACAAAATACTCAAGAACCCATCAAAAGAGCATCAAAATACATGTGAGAAAAGCAGGGGACAGAGATAACCCAGTAAGCAGGCAGGTTTCTGGTGTTGATAAAATGAGTGTTATATGTGTCTTGTCTGTGGACAAGGTAATGTCTTCTCTTCATTACTACCCAAAAGCCAAATTTTTACCTTACCACTTACCAAGTGGAGACCACTTCACACAAGTTGCTGCACGATTGATACGAAGCAGAACCAATGTTGGCTTCCATTTTCCGTCATCTCCTTGAGTCCACACATAAGCATTACGATCCTGGAATAAGATGCAAAATAAGTCTAATTAACATGGGAATTAAAATACATAACAGGTTGCCCCCTGAATTAAAGAGAATAGAAAATTTTAAAGTTTTTAAAAATAAATTGAAAAGTTATTTATTACAAAACTGCTTTTATTCTCTGAAAGTTTTTTTAGTAACAATGATGGATGGTAGTCTAGTGGCTCAGGTTGGTTTTGATGTTGTGTGGATGTATATAGATGGTATATAAGCGTAGGTGTTGCTTTATATTGAATTATTGGGGGATGTCATCCAAGGCTGCTAGCTTCAGCAGGGGGACGATGATCCTAAGATGACTGTATTGTTCTTAGTCTTGTGTATCATTTTGTACATTTTTAAGAGTAGTTGACTTGTAGTGTTTTTGATGGTTTAAACTGACTTCTCCAATTATACTTGTTTAACAGTTTATGGATGTAAATGAATTATGAATTAACAGCACTGAACATTTCTGACTGGACAGTCTTCCAGGAATTCACATGCTTTGGTAAACTCCCAAAATGATTAAGCTGGATTCAGAGTTCCTGCACAATTGATGGATGCTTCCAAGATGATAACTGTGCCACTCTTACTGAACTATAAGACAACAGCAGGTTTCAAGGGAAAATATTAGTGATACTTGTCAAGATGAGATTCTTACATATACTTTCATTATTTGTGATTTATTTAACGATGCTGTCTGCATCTCAGACTATACAGTGTTGAATGATATGATGACTTAATTAATGAGCTGGAAAGGCTGCAGAATGAAGCTGTTGTGGCTTAATTTGAGAACTACCTGGAAGAACTGAGGAAAACCAAAACATCTCAGTTAGGAGAGGTGGAACCCTGGCCAAGATCTGTCACCCACAAATACACACCAAAAGCATCACAAATTTGGAAAATCTATTTGGTTTTTTGGTACAATATTGACATAAGCAATGTTTTTTTTTACTCAATCATCTGTTAAACACTTTCATTCACAGCAACTCTGTTTCTGGCTTACAAATTACATGGTGTCATATTCCAGGAGACTGTAACCTGACTGCTTGCCATCATGAGAACCTTTTTTTTTTTTTTAAATTTGCTTAGTGGGGGGCAGAGTCCAACTGGGTCCACTCAGCACGGTAGCCACTGATTGGCCTACTGTAGCCTGCCCTGGGTGATTATGATGGAGAATTTGATGGAATAAAGATCGGCAGGGGAAACCATATTACTCGGAGAAAACCCGCTCCAGTGCCACTTCGTCCACCACAAATCCCACTTGACCATACCTGGGATTGAACACAGGCCGCCACGGTGGGAAGCCAGTGACTAACCGCTTGAGCTATGGCGATGCCTATCATGAGAACCTTACATAATTGTTGGTCTCTTTAGCGTACTGATAGCCAATAATTTAAACATTTAAAGGAATCTGCATATCAAATGTTGTAGCCATTCATATGCACAAGCTACTTACCCACCCGCCATGCCCACTGGACTTGGTGGCAGAGAAAGATACACAGGTGGTCACACAATCAATTTTACTGATTAATTAGGTTAGTGAGTTTAAGGGGAGACTAGTGAAGACGACAACACACAAGCAAGGGCCATATTACAGATTGCAGACGTAGCAAAACAACTGGTTAACAAACAGAAAAACAAGCTGCAAAAACAAACCTGAAATAATCACATAGCTCTAAACAAGTGGACGACGCCCCTTATGAAGTGGAATAGGATTTTACAAAAATAATGAAAAATTTAATAGACAATTTTAATGGATTTTAATTAATTATTTTAATGTTATTTTTAAGGCGACTGCAGCGTGTGGTTTTGGCTCACATCAGAGCAGTGTAACAGTTTTGATACATTAAGACACCTGAAGATGGCCATCTATGGCTGAAACATGTTGTGTTAAGTGTTATGTGGTGAGTAAACAATTGTGGCGTTACTGACAGACTGTGGATACACAGATGTTTTAATTAAGAGGAGGTTCTTGTAGGTAATAAAGGTAGGCCTGAGCGCCAGAGATTGGGTAACCTCGTGAAGTAGACTAATTTCAGATAGCGTCCTCCTAACCGGTGAATTTAGTGGGTGAGAGGATGATGTGGTTGGATGAGCTCAGCTTAGAAGAACGATGACAACTCCATCCAAGGTTGGTTAAAGGCTATAACTTCAGTGGCCTGATGCTGCTGTTGGCTCTGAATGATCACATTTGTTACAACAAAGATGTACTTTATTGGAATTCCAGCTCATACAGGTATACCATACACTTTCATACACTAAACTGGTATTGAAGGGAGACGTAACACACTTTCATAACCCCAAAATTTAACTTTTTGAAAATGTTTCATCACTTAATCATTTGGTTCAGAATGAACTGCTGGAAGTCGGCAGCGAATGAGCCTTGTCCAAGTTCTGAGTCTGTAATATATAGTTGGTTTAATTCAGAAAAGGGGCACGTTTCAAACCCCAACTAAGTCAAAAACTCAAGTTCCCAACAAACTTGTGTCTTCCCTTGAGTAATTTCAACCTGAAGGAAAATGTGAAAAAACAAATGCATGCACCTTATTGGTCACTTCGAACTGAACCATTTACAAATTATGAGGCAAACTGAGATAACAAATTACAAAAGTTACCCCTGTGATGTCTCTGTATAAGATTAGTTGCAATCCCTTAGTGTCACACACTCAACTTCTGTCATCAGAATAACCCCCAAAACTGTGTTGCATCTGTTAAGTTTCAACTAAATGCAAAACAATACAGTAAATTCACAGAAACAAACATTCAGTATCAAAATTTGTATAATAAAGTAAAAGCAAAGCTATCCCTGTACCAGACCATGAAGGCTCATAGGGTTGTGAGACGTTGAGGGTCCTACATTATCTAGACAATCGGCTCAAAGATGGCGGTAAGGTTGTTAGCCTTATGCGCCGGCCGCGCTTTACTCCCCAGGACAATTATTTAGTTAATTCCTTGTACTCATTTCTGTTAGAGGCTGAGTTGACCCCATGGCCATAGTGTGGCTGGAAGGATTAGGGCAGTTGAAAAAATCCAATGACCTCATCGGGAGTTGAACCCACAGCCTTCCAGCTTGTAGCATAGCCCCTCAACAAACTGCACTGCCATGTGCCCCCAAAATTTGTATAATAATATGCAAAATTGATGTTATAATTAATAAATCAATTAGTAATAACTAATTAGGACAGTTACAGCTATCTTATGCTTTCACATGGTCTTCCATGATCATACCATGATTTATTAAACTTCTTTTAATAGATACAATTATTAAAAACACATTTAAAAGTCTGTACCAAAAATTGAATCCCAGACCTCTAAAATAAGTAGTGTTGCAACAGTAACAGCAATAGTAATAGCAGCAGCAGTAAGCACACTGTAAAACTACGAAATCCAATATCTAATTATGCCTAAATTTAAACTTATTGGTGACTAAATTAACAATGATGTATCAGCTGATATACTATGTGAACTTGTACTGAAAAATTATGACTATGCACAGTTGTGTTAATATTAAAATTATCCTTTCATTTGTGTATGGTGTGGACAGCAATGGACATTTATACCCATATTCACATTTCGAAATCATTACAGAGGAAGGAAAATGTCCCAAAGTTATGATAATGTGAAGAAGATTAATAATACAGAGAAATATAATACAAATGACAGCTATGTTTTTAATTTTTGATGTAGAAATTCTATTCCTATATATTATTATATAAAGCAAAATGAATTACGTAATTTTCCTCAGAAAATCTATACTATTNTTCAAGTCTAAAGTGAGGAACATTTCTTTATGAATAAAAGTACTAAAAATTCCTGACAGAAGAAGTAATATCTGGCAGCTAACTTCTGCAGTGTGTTATGTTCCATAATTTCAATCCTAAAGTCCAGTATTCATCCCTGTTACAGGATGTATTTATATAGTACACAATTATATCAGTTTAATAAAAATTTGCTCAATTACTTAAGTCATTCTAACAGGTTCCTTTGATATCATTCAACTTACTACAGCACATGTAACAATCCGATTAGTCTTCAGTGCCCAGTCAATGCCTGTGACACGTAACTCATGCTGGTTAAGAACATCTACAAGTTTCCAGTCACTATCAGCTCGCTGATAGATGTGAACTTCATGGTTATTAGGAGACAAAGCAACCTCTGGAAGGATATAAACAAAATTAAAAACCTTCAAAATCATAATAAACAAGGTTACCAACTTTCAAACCTGAGAAGTTAGGACATTAAACATAAAATAAATTTTCCTTTTCCCACTTTAAAATTTTTAATCACTGCTAGTGACATCACTGAAAAACAATGCTACGAAAAAGACCAAAGCATATTTTCAAAGTACTTTTTCAGCATTCACTTGGAGGGCCAACACAAAGCATGTTAAGACATGTGGTCTCTAGCCAGAAAACTGAACTGAATAACTCCAAAATATGAAGCAGCAATACCAACCATTCAACTTCTCACTTTATCACCTGCAGGAATAGAGCAGATATTGAATATATACATGGAAGTCACTAGCAATCAGAATGCCTAACTACAGGCAGCAGAACTTTTTTTAAGATGAATTAGTCAGGCAAGCATAAGCAACCCACTTGAAAAGAATATTCATACTCTCAGACCTTTAATCTGTGACCACATATTTGTCAAATGTTGGCAATTAAAGCCTCAAAGTAAAGGTTGGTTATGCCACATGCCAGGGTTATCGAGACAGATCTCGGTTGGTCTGCAGCTCATTTAACAACTGTAATATTATTTGCCGTAAAAAGGAAGTAAATGAAAGGTAATGGCATCAGACAGATTTACATTTTTAATTATTTACTATATCATCAAGAAACTAAAATTATAAATTTTACAATATTTTTTTTTACTTTTGGGTTCCCCTCTGTCCTTCCAACACACAGAGCTTACACGACCCTCTTCCACAACTGTAATTAAAGATGCACCTCCTACATTTTGGTGACTTAACTTACGGGTTCGATCTCTGTTCCATGCGTGACAAGTGATTGGGTTCACGCCAAAACTATGTCTCTCAGCCATTCTGCTATTCTGAAAATCAAAAAACGTAAATTACCCGAGGCGTTAACGCCCAAATGAATCACTTTCTTATAACAGGCCTAAAAATATACATAATTTGGTACGAAGAGGCATATATGGAAATAATTACAAACATTAATAAGCCCTACCTTATTACTACCCGGAAAATCGTGGACTCTGGTCCGTCTACACGAAGTTTCCCTTCACCGCACTCCTGTGCTGCTGACCGCTACTGACTTCGGCAAATTAGTAACCCGTATGACCCGTACGACCCGTACTGCCCGTAGTCGCCACGGTCACCACCTTAAGACGCCTAATACAAAAGAAACTGCTTAGACAACTTAGCACACTGAGCACCAGTTTGAAACACACTCACTTAATCGATGAGTGCATGAAAGGGACCAGACGTGCCATCTAGGGTTATAGAAGCTATGCTCTCTGTTCAACCTAAACAACCATGGACTCATCTACCCGCGTTCCATGGTTAATCTGTTGTGCTAGGGAGGTTTACGTGAGGTTGACTGTTGTACAGTGATCCTTGCTGAAATGTTTATTATTGAGGCATGTTCTTGATCAGCTGTTACAAGTAATAAAGGACGAAATGAATTGAAAATTTGTCACTTTATGTTGACATTCTTATCAAACAAAATTTGATACACTCTTAACTGTTATTTGTTCTTTCCTTCTATAATTCCCTATGCATATTAAGGATATTGTTACAGGTTAGACTGCACTGCAGATACGGTAAGTAAATGTAGGTAATCTGTGGTGGTTACAATCGGTACAATGCTGCCAGTGCTGATGGTCCTTGACAATAATTATGTTCGGCGGATGTTTTATCCCGCCAAGTATCGTAGTTGAATACGTTGTATATGATATTCTCATTTAATATATTTTGATTACTCTTTTTTTATTGTTAGGAAGTGTATGTGTAAGAAGTGCAGCAATTCTGAGAACGGAGATTGAAAGTAATGGAAATTGAGTTTCTATCTTAAATACATCAGTTTTATGGGTTTTATAGATAAGGTACGTCATGCAGAATTTGAGGTTCTCACAGCGGTGGCTGAAGAGTGCTGTTTTTTTGGTACGCAGTGCGTAAGATGGATTCAGTATGTTCCTCCGAAACGTCGGCGGACTCATATCGGACTAAATAGCATTACGTCCCAAAAGGTAGTACATCATGTTGGAGGTTAGTTTTAAGTAGAGGTATGCCACTTTCTGGAGAGAAAATTTTATTTATTTTTATAGAAAGGAAAGGAATTCGACGTAACATAGCCTTGAACGGTGAAATGTACAGTTTTGTTGTTAGTATCATGACCAAATTCTCCAGCGTTCATTAAATAAATATTAATAACCAATATATCGGAAAGTTTACACGATATTTTGATCACAAATGAAAAATAACCGTTATATCTGCAGCGAGTTATATGATTATCTTTGGATTGGAGGTTCTTACAGCGGTGGGAATGGAGAGGTCTATCTTCTGGGATATGTCATGTCTGAAATATTGGTTTACTTTCACTGGATTACACAATGTTATATCCCTGAAGATAGAAATCTGCTTGACTTTCATTTAATTTTATATCATAGGTTTTTAAAAGCTCCATAATCAAAATTGCTGTTATATGCTTGGTATGTTTGAAGGTACAACTATGATTTTCATCAGTATCGTAAATAATTTAATTTTCTTGTACCGTGAAATACAAGGAATCATTCTTTGCAAGGATAAAATCCTTGATGTGTCTTCTTAAGGTGTGTACTTTTAATGCTTTCCAGAATTTCTATGAAGAATGAAGGCCATCACATACTATTTACAGTTTCCAGCAGGGGAGAAAGAAGATAAGGACCAGAATGGAAATGGAAGGCTACCAGTTTTAAATGGTGATAGTGATGAAGCTGGAGCACAGAAAATTCACAAGGGACTTTTCAAGACTGCCAGTGTGGTTGAAAAGAGTTCTTGTCCATCATTATTTAGCTCAGAAATTAAAAATAGCCCTTCATTTGTTAGAACTAGTACTAGAAGAGTTAGGTCGAAATGTAAAATTCAATTTAAAATGACAAGCGATGCAGATAATAGTAATGAGAGTGTTGAACTTGATAGACATAGTATCATCTTGCAGGACAAGGAGGATGTATCCATTTCACAAACAACATCCATCAAGACTTCAGTCAAAGAACTTCATGATGAAACGGGATCCTTGCAGACTGTGAGTGTTGGGAAGCAAAATCTAAAAAAGAAGAAGAAATTAAGTCTCTCTTCACAGAAGGTCAGCAATTGTGATACAACAAATAAATCCTTGTGTGTGAAAAGTGAAGTTTTAAATGAAATTTTTGTAGAGTCATCAAGAAAGACAGAGGATAGTCTTTTATTTCAGGGAAATGGAAAATCTAGCCTTTTTGTTAAATGTAAGCTGAAGGACAGTTTAAAGGAACCAAAACAACATGGTTTTGGAACAGATGTAACAAATGAAACTTGCACAGATGATAAGACTTCTGATAAGATTCCCTCCAGATTGAATGAAAGTAACAATGCATTCCATATCCTCATGTCTTCAAGAATATGGCAGTCACCACATGAGCAGGGTCCTGATGAAACTAAAGATCACACATATTCCAATAGAAAGAAGACAATTGTTATTGCAGACGCACCAAAGAAGACTGTAGAAATAAAGGAAAATAGAAAGAAAAGGAAGAAAAAACTCGATGTGGTAAGAAAAAGAAGGATAAAAAAAGCAAAACTCAGTGACACATCCTCAGAAATTGAAATAGGAGCAGAAAAGAAGCCTGTTGTCAGGTCTAAAAAAGTTGTAATTGTGCCTGAATCTGATTCAGATGGTGAAGGAAACACAGCACTTGGCCAGAGTATAGACACTTTGAAATCTAAAGCTGAAGACAAGCAGGATCACAGAGGATGTGGTAAAATGGTTGTGGAAGAGACTGATGATGATTATGCAGAACAAAGTGATGAGAAAGAACTAATGAAGAAAGATGATAAAGTAGTGAATCAGGACAGTCTGATGAATAGTAAACTTTCTACAAGAACATCAAGAAAAATGGATGGGAGCAAAAGCAGATTGTCTCATAAAACTAGCAGTAAACATATTTTAGAGGAGATTAAAGACAATTGTTCAGAACCTGAACAAGACCACTTACACTTAAAGAAACTGGTGGTGAAAGTAGAGAAAATTTCTCCTGAGAAGTTGATACAAATTTCTACACAGAAATGTTATGAAGGCAGTGAAAAAAAAGTTCGAAAAGGAAGAGGGAAGTTGGTCGTGGGTGGAAAAGGAACAAAGGAGAAGGGATCAGAGAGAGAGGACAGAATGGTTAATTGTCAACTTTCCATACACAAAGCTAAAATGTCCCCAAAATTGCCTAAATCTACAAAGAAGTTTGTCATTCAGTGTAATAAATCCACAGGTAAGAGTTTTTTTGAACGAAGAGTGAAACTGGTAAAGAAATCTGAACAAGAAAGTGGTGAATTTGGGAAGAAGAAAAGTGAGACATGGATAGAGGATACTGACAGTGAAGAAGAGAATCAGAAGCAGACAGAAATGAATAAGAAAGATAAAACAAACAAAGCAGCCTCAGTGAGCACTATAGATTCAAATTGTGAAATACCAGCAGACCCAAAGAAACATATACCATTTCCAGAGGAGACTAAGAAAAGGAACAGTTTGTTCAGTTACTTTAATAAAGTTTCTAAAGATGAAGTTTTACTGAAGCCTGAAAAAATTAAAGTGGAAGTTCAGATTCATTCTCCCCCTTCATCACCGTCAGTGAAGCAAAGACGTACAAGTGTTCCTGAGGATAAAAGAAAACAGATTCACTGTGTGAAGAGTAAGGTGTTGGACATGGAAGATCAGATCATTGTGTTGGAATCGCATATCACGAAACCAGCAACTGATGCCAGCTCTGTTTTTGTTGTAACACCAAAGAAGCATAATGAAATAAATGACATGAAAACTCCACCTTCTGGCAGTGGATGGAAGATGCGTGTCAGATTGCGGGAGTCACCTGCGCAACCCGTTCTAGACGACACAGGTATGAATTTTGTATAATAATATTAGACAGACCTGCACAAAATTCTTATAAATCTAGGAGCTAGAATAAATAAAAATAGTCTTTGAGTGAAAAATGTCTTGGTTGTACTAACAGAGAAAGAAATGAAATATCTACTTATAAATTACAGATAGAATCGTTCCTCTACTTGGATAGTTAATCACTCTCTTCGTAAAAGGAGGAAGTGTTAATTGGTCTTGTGTGAGAAGTGACAATCATGGACTTCACGCTGCAGAATTTTTTTTAATTGCTAGTGGGGTGGGACTAAGTCCCTTGTACTGCGGCCACTTCTGGCCTATTGTACCAGCCCAAGATGATAGGTGAGAGTGATTGTGGAACAATTTGTGGAATGACGATTGGCAGGGGAAACCAAAGCACTCGGAGAAAACCTGCCCCAGCGCCACTTTGTCCACTACAAATCCCACTTGACCAGACCCGGGATCGAACCTGGGCCGCTGCGGTGGGAAGCCAGCAACTAACCGCTAGAACTATGGCACGGCCACTCACGTTGCAGATACTCCCATGTATGTGATGAATCAAATCAGATGGAGTGCTTATGGTCGAGGTTGAGTTCCTTTCTTAAGTTGAATTCTCGCGTCCTGCAGCACAGTGTCGTTTTAACACTTTGATCGCTGAGACTTGGGAACTGCATTTTGCTGTCATCACAATTATATATAAATATTCCAGAATTTTCTCAAATTTATTACACTTAACATCATTAAAGAAGAGTAAAATTTTGTAGTCTCTTGGAACACAAATAATTAAGAATGCGTTGTTTGTTATTCTATACCCAATTCCTGTTCTTTTGTTTTTTGTGGTCTGTATCTAATAGTAATTTTGGCCTTTGGGATGTGGCTGCATCCTGTTGAAATTGTTCAGAGTTTTGATATATACTGTAGTCAGTCTCCAATTGGATGGCGACACGTTTCACATCCCCATCTTTATGACAGCGTTTAAGGTGTAGCCGTTTCACTGAATCAGCTTTGGTGCATCTGATGATGGCCGTGTAAGGCAAAGTATGTTGTGTAAAATAGGTCAAATAAAGAAGGAACTGAGAGTTTTAATTAAACATTAAATTCTGGGTTTAAAACTTCTGGTATAAGTTTCACGGAAAATGGAAATGAATATGTGGAAAGGTGGCAACCCTATCTTAAGCTGAAACACTGGAAAGCTTTCAGCGTGTGACTTAGCCACACTCTGAAAGCCAAAATTACATATTTATACTGTACTCTCCTTCATGTTCATTTACACACTTATCTGTCCCTAATCGACAGTTTGATTCGACACTCCAGCAGTATGCCCAAATGTCCAAAAGACTGGCATTCCCTGGTCAGCCAATGATCACCAGTGCACTTGTGTACACATTTACATCGCGCAGCCTTTTGGTTGCGCCATAGCTCATGCAGTTGCTGGCTTCACACCGTGGCGGCCCGGGTTCGATCCCGGGTCTGGTCAAGTGGGATTTGTGGTGGACAAAGTGGCGCTGGGGCAGGTTTTCTCCGAGTACTTCTGTTTCCCCTGCCAATCTTCATTCCACCAATTGCGCCACAATCACCCTCACCTATCATCTGGGGCTGGTACAGTAGGCCAGAAGTGGCCGCAGTACAAGGGACTTAGTCCCACCCCACTAGCAATAATAGTAATAATAATAATACTTCGGGCAGCCATTCTGGTAGTGCGGTAGTATGGTCTTATCAGTGTTTGTTGTTTTTCATTACATTTTGCAACCTTTTGAATGAAACTGGTGAAATTATGCATTCTAAAATGAAAAGCAAAGAAAATTTTAAAATTGGGTTTATTAACCAGTGAGTCAGTGATCAGTGACCTTTCATGGAACCAGTTAACATTGATTAATGGCAGATGGTGCTAGTCAATACTGCAGATATATACCCCATCATTGCAGAGCTAGTCACAGTACATGTATTATGTTAAATAACCATCACACTGAAAAAAGTTTTAAGACCCCAAACTGAACACATCAGTCTAAAAGGTAACAATATAGACTCGTATTCAGGAGGTGTGTAGTTCAGATCTTTGTTCAGATGCCGGCTATCCTGACTTAGATGTTTGTGGTTTTCAGTCCTGCCAGGCAGATGTCTTGATCAGGCCTTAACTGCTTCTTTCCACATCCTTACCAATTCATCATTTATCAGTTACACTATCAGCTGACACTATATGGTCTAGATGCTGTCAGCATCGTCAAATAACCTACAAATACAGCAAAACAAGAGCCATCAGGACCTGTCACTGTAAACATAAATATCTGTGAAGGGGGTTGCATCTCCAGATATTCAGCTGTTTAGTTTATTAAGTAGTGACCTGCAGTAAGCAATGCTTGTAACTAGTTATTTGTGTATTTTTTTTTAAATTATGAGGTGACAGCAGTGATGATAATATTTTCATACCAAAGAGGAAATGGGTAGAGAGTAAAATACCAGCTCAGCCGATAGATGCAGGGGAGGCATTACAAGCGTCTAGGACAGGGGAGAAGTGCATGAATTCAGAAGGAATGGAAAGTCAAGATAATGATGCCTGTGTTGAAGGAGCTGAAGGGGAAATGGAGGTCATCATATGCTCAAACCCAGACAGGAAACCAAATGGTAAGCATACTTTATTAAGCAGAAATCCTGTGGTATGGTTTACATAGGGTTTATGCCAGACCTACCAAAGAAGAACTTTGGTGGTACATATTTAAATTGCATATCTAATTCATTTCAAACAAGTTAGAAGGGAAATAAAAAACAAGAGCCAGAATAGCTCAGTTGTTTTGGTGAATAGTGACAGGCTACGGGCTGGATGACCAGAGTTTGATTCCTTGTAGGGTTAAGATTTTTCTTTTCTCCAAAGCATCCAGACCAGCTCTGGAGACCACCAATCTTCCTGTCCAATGGGTACCAGAGACATTTTCCATGGGGATTAAGTGGCCGGGTCATGAAGGTGAGAACTCACCTCAATCTAGTGCTGAAGTCTAAAATGGTGGAGCTGTACCTCCACTCCCCCATATTTCTTGTCTTTTTTTTTTTTTTGTAACCTTCCAAGGAAAATATTTAGATCAAAAAGGGGGAAAAGCTGGGTGTAGGGAATATTGGTTGTGTAACTGATATTTTTAGGTTAACGCTTGTTTGCCTGCCACTTATTTTACACATTTCCTTATGTGTCAACAGTGATCATGATATTACTATAGCAGTACAATATTGAAATTAATAAAATATTTTGGGCTATCAGCCATGAAAGGTGGTTAAAAATGTTGACACTTCAGGAATCATTTTTGGTCCAGTTATCACAATCTGATTACATCAGGTCCTGATATCGACTCTGCCAATACCCGGAAAAAGTTGTATTAATGATAGCTGCGGTGAAAGCTCAAATCTTAGAAAGTAATAGAAGTCTAATTCATATGTATTTTTGTTAAGTAGTTCTGCTGGTATTTTAATGTACTGTTAGAATGTTTGGATTACAATTCTAACATTTAATTAGACTTTCCCAGCTGTTAAGTAATTTGAAAGTGACCACGCTTGGTAGTGTTTACTGTGAAATTAAATTTTGTCAAAGAATTTAATTTTTTTTTTTTTTAGGTTTAAATTTGTGTGTTAAATGCTTCCAGATATGAAGTTGGCACCGCTGTTTTTACGAAAACCAAAAACTGATCCAGCCGTTGTAGAAGCCCGAAGGAACTTTCTGAAGAGTGGAGTTCCTGATTCGGTGAAGAAGTTAGCAGATATACAACGCAGGTCTCTGACCCACAAAACATAACATGAAATATAAATGTTGAGACCCTATAGGAACATAAATAGGCATGCCTCATTTTTTAAAATACCACTGTACCAAATGTTGAGTGTTTCTTAGGGATTTATTGCAGTGAAATGTCACATGCCACAATCCTCTTAGAGTCATGATTGGGTGGAAATTAGCATGTGTCCATATGTCTGCTCTCCTGTAATAATGTTACCTCAGTTGATGTAGAGACATGCTGTGGGCTGGACTGTCAAGGTTTGATCACCGGCAGTGGCAAGAGATTTTCTAGTCTTCACAGCATCCAGATTTGCTGTGGGACCTCTGCAGCTTCCTATCTTGTGGGTACCATGGGCCCTTTCTCTTGGGGGGGGGGAGTGGCCAGGGCATGAAACGAACCGCTCACCTGTATCTAGTGCCAAGGCCAAGAATGGTGGAGCTATACTTTGACTCTCCCATTATGTCTTCATGACTTGGTGCTTAATTAATTAACCACAGGGACAGGTGTACCTTTACTGGATCTTGAAATTTTATGTTCGTAATGTTAGCAATTATCTCACGTTTATAATTTTTAATTTACAACTGGTGTGGTAGCCATTGAGACTTGTGATGTGGGGACTGTCTCAGTACTTAATGCTGTGGTTTTAAGTCTTTGAAATACATGCAACTAGAAGGTAGGTATCCCTGTAACAGGCCATGGAGACCCATAGGGTTGTGAAATGTTGAGGCTTCCGCATTTTCTAGACAGTTGGCTCAAAGATGGTGGTGAGGTCAGCCTTATGTGCCGGCTGCTCTTTACCTCCAGGAAGATCCCTGGTTCTCATTTCTGTTAAAGGCTGAGTCGGCCCCAGGGCCATAGTGCAGCTGGAAGGATTAGGTCAGTTGAAAAAAATCCCCCTCATTGGGATTCAATCCCATGACCTTCTGGTTTGTAGCACAGTGCTTCAACCAACTACGCTACCGCGATGCAACTAGAACTAATGCAAAATTAGGGACAGTTTTAGATTTAGTACTTGGTACAGTTGTAGTTTTAGGAATACTGCATGTTTTCTGTGTCTGAGAGTTGATAACTGATGTACATTTGTTTCTTCTTGCAGCCTGGAGGGACAGTATCAATTTCTCTTTCCAACTGTAGCCCATGTTCAGCAGCAGGAGGACCAACTGTGTGTATGGAATTTGCCGTTAGTTGAACTGCCCCTAAATACTACAGAAACTGAGCCTCCTACTTTAACATTGAAGCAAATAGAAGCAGTTGAATTGGGCACCTTCAGCAACTGCTGCAGCACAGATCCAGCCTGTAGTTTCACTAAGCCTTCAACACCAACACCGATTACGTGCTTTCAGAAATTGCTTCGGATTCTGAAGTCAGAGTCACCAGATTTTCCAATTTATCGAGCATTCAGACGGCTACATTCGAAATACCTTCAGGGTGTTGAAAAGTCTACGGAAGAGGTATTAGGAAAAGATATTAAACAACAAAAGAGGAGGGGTGGAAAGAGCAGGGTGACAAGGTCAAATGCACACATTGAGAGGCAGAAGGAGGAGATTTGTAACCGGAAGTCAGAGGTCATGTGGACAGAAAAGTACAAACCAACATCTGTGGATGATCTCGTTGGGAACAGACATAGCATAGATCAGCTGAAACATTGGCTGGAGAGTTGGAAACATTACAGCGATGAAATCCAGCACAGAGATAAGGAAAGTGGTCGGAACAGAAAGGGTAAGGGCTTTTGAATTTCAAGGTTATTTCTTATTACTGACCATAGCGGCCTCCGTAGTCTAGGGGTAACATTCCCACCTCATGACTCAAGGTACGCAGGTTCAAAAACCCGGCGGGGGTCGTGGAATTTTTAAGGGCAGAAAAAGTCAGGGAGCAAGTCCTCTGGGAGGGACTTTAAGCCGTGGGTCCCGTGTCATAGATTTATGGTACGTAAAAGAACCTCATGTCTCTAGGAGACCTCTGAGCAAAATTAAGCCAAGTTTCCCACCCAACTAGTTTCCAATTCCTCCGGTAGATGGGGAAGTATCAGGTACCACTGTCAGAGGAGGGGGGACCTCTCTGGCAGAAAGGGACTAAAAAGTATTAGATACCACTGCCAAGTAGAGGGTAGAAACCTTGCTGGCAGAAAGGAACTAGGAACCCCTGCCAGAGGAAGGACGACCTCGCTGACAGAAAGGGACTAACTATTAAGATACCACTGCCAGTAAGAGGTTGGAACCTCACTGGCAGAAAGGGGCTGATAGTAAGCACCAGTACCGGTAGGGTATGGAGACAGTAGAAATTAAAGGGGGACGCACAATGGACCAGTAACCGGTCTAAGTGCATGGGGAAACCCACCCCCTCAATACGGAATATTACTGACCATCAGCATGTATATGTTAATGAGCACATGGATTTCTGTTTGTTGGCCATTTTCATGCCCCTTAGATTGTAGTTCTGTAAACCATTGCCACTTCCGTGATTTGTAACTTCCTGGAAGGACATGCTGTAGCTCAGGCAGTCAATCACCAGCTTTGCAATGCAGTGGCTCTGGTTCAATCTAAGGTCAGATAATATGGGATTTATGGTGAACTGAGTGGCATTAAGGCAGGTTTTCTTACTGCCAGTCCAGCCATCTCAGGTTGCATTTGGCCAAGTTGAAGTTTATGCACATATAACCTTGGATGGTTAAGAAATCAGTGGAATAGTTAGTATGGGTAACAATGAAGACATGTATTTTGCAAGAACAAACTGGACATGTTAAATTTCTGTGTTACAGTAAATATGCTTTGTATTGTTAGATTCAAGCAGTGGAGATGAATTCTTTGACTGTGACTCCAATGACAACATTAACAGGAACTTGCCCAATAACACAGCAATTTTGGTTGGTCCTCATGGCTGTGGGAAGACATCTGCTGTGTATGCTATCGCTAATGAACTTGGCTGTAAGGTAAGAAGAGAAGAATTTTTGGGGTCGAAGCCATGCTGACTGATTAGGCTTTTCATAGTTTTTCTCAATCTTTCCAGGCAAATGCCAAGACTACCTTATGTATGTATGTATGTATGTATGTATGTATGAAGGTGTAGGCCTACTCGGCCCTTGCACTTAGACCTCAGTGGTCCATTGTGCTTCCCCTTTTTTTAATTATTCCCTCAGCAACCCCACGCTTCGGATGAAGCGCAGGATTTTGGAAGTGGGGGCGTCGAACTAGTCACTTGGTTCCATAAAGTACTGACCAAAGTGACGTAGTCTTAAAGAAGCTAAAGTGTCACATTCACACAGGACGTGTGTGGCTGTTTCATTTTCTATCTGACACCTCTCACAAGTGGGACTATCACTTAGTCCCAGTTTGAACAGGTGTCCTTTGAGGTGACAGTGTCCTGTAAGTAGTCCTACCACCCATCGTAGCTGGTTCCTGTTGAGCTTCAAGAGTTCCTTTGCTCTTTTATCAGAAGGTCCTCGTATGAGTCCCTTAGCTTACCTGAGTCCAGTTAAGGATTCCCAGTATTTCTTATGTTAGTCCAGTCTCTGATTGCCTGTTTGGCAACTTCTAGAGAGATGCCACAGGCTGGTTCAGCTCCAATTTTAGCTAATTGGTCTGCTGCTTCATTTCCAGCAATACCCTCATGTCCCGGCACCCATATCAGTTCTACCCTGTTAAAGACAGTACCTTGAGTATGCCAGTAATGCTTCCTTCGAAATCATTTACAGTTCATCAGACGTATCATTCATTGCCGTGTAGTCTAGACACTTACAGCACTAAAATAAACAACATAAAAATTTATCAAGGTTCTAAAGGAAGAGAGTTATATCTTCAGAATTCTAACCAGATGCATGTGTCCATTTCCTGAGTCAGTTATGAATATCATAAATCATTTGTTTCTTAATCACACCTTCTACCTGATCATCAGAAATCCCCCTTATTCCAGCCTTTCAGCAGAAAATTGTCTTTGTTGTTTTTAAATTTTTACAAAGAACATTGGTAATTTTCTGTTTATCCAGATTATCTCAGTATCCACTTTCATATTGAAAAACTTTATATTTGCAATATACAGAAAAGCAAAAGAAAATTGTATTAAAGACACAAAATATAAATATTGTGAAATATATATATGTGTCCGTGGAAGCAGTTATGCGGTAGCAGTAAGCCAAAGCAGACTTAATGCAGGGAGTATTGGTAGTTAAGGAGTAATAATTAATACAAATAGATAATTTTTGGGGCATTGGGCAGCACTTTCAGTATTTAAATATTTTAGTTTTGAGGTTTGGCTGGTTTTGGTTAAAAATGCTCTATGTCTCCCTCTGCAGTTCCTCATATTCCACCTTAGTGGGTTATGTGTTGCAGGTTATGGACATTAATTGACAATTTCTCACAAGACTGACAAAAACAGGACGACATTGGAGGTCACACATATTCCTACTTTTCTTCTTCTGAGTGATGGTAAAGTAAAAAAGTAAAAGCAAAGGTATCCATGTAACAGGCCTTGGAGGCCCATAGGGTTGTGAGATGTTGAGGTTCCCACATTTTCTAGACAATCAGCTCATAGGTGGCGGTAAAGTTGTCAGCCTTATGCGTTGGCCACCCTTTTTTTTTTTCCTGTGGCGCTACAGCCCCAATTTGGGCCTAGGCCTACCTCCATGAAACTCTCCGTTTCACTTCAGTTTACTAGATCTTACACATACAGTAGGACTCCTTGGGCGAGTGATCAGCTCATCGCAAGGCCTCTGCCTGTTGGCAAACACAGAAAAACGCACACAAACATCCATGCCCTGAGTGGGATTCGAACCCACGATCCCGGCTTCCGAGCAAGCAAAGACAGTGCATCCCTTAGACCACTCGGCTACCGTGACTGCCTGGCCACCCTTTACCTTCAAGAATATTCCTGGTATTCATTTCTGTTAAAAGCTGAGTTGACCCCAGGGCCATAATGCAGCTGGAACGATTAGGTAAACTGAAAAAATCCGCCTCATCGGGATTCGATCCCGCGACCTTCCAGCTTGTAGCATAGTGCCTCAACCAACTATGCTACCGCGTTCCCCCCCTTCCCAGCGATGGAATGAACTTACAAGAAATCTGTCACTGAGATGATGGGATGGGACTATAAAGATATTTTGATGAAACAGGGAAGACTTCACCCTGTCTTCATATACTATAGCAGAACATAGAAAAATTAATGTAGTAAATCGTACTAAAATCTTATTTAAACTATAAATATCTGGATGGAACTACAGTGAAGTTACATCGGTGTTTTAAGGGGAATGGCAAAAGGTTAAGTGAAGAAATATGTAGTGGAGGTTCTACTGTAGTTCTATTTATTTGGTATAGGTCCTGGAAATCAACACCTCCTCAAAACGCAATGGAAAACGTATACTGTCTGAGCTACAGGAAGCAACACAGTCTCACCAAGTGAAGTCTTGTTCAGAACATGCTTCAGGTGCACTGGGTTCATTCGTCAAAGCAAAGCCTACTAACTCGAGGAAGGTGAAGTCAAGTAGGTATTCCAGTATTGTGAAATAAGGGACTGTGGAATAGGTTAGTATGGCTCAAGGTAGGTTTGTGAATGTGGTTATGAGTGTTAGGTTCCATGAAGGGCCAGGGAATTTCTTGAGAGGCTTTAAGTTCTTGCTTCTTAAGATCTATGCTCCATGAAGTTATCATGTAAATACAGTTTTGTTCTGTTTCTCCCCATACTGAAATTTGAACCTACATATTCATAAAGAGAAGTTACCCACCAATGTCAGACTCAGCACTTGCTTACATGTGTCCTTATTGTGTGTTTAAAATTACAGAGCCCACTGGAGATGATTCTATACCAAAAGAGGATGGTGATGATCGTAAGTCCAGCAAGATGTCGATTATTTTAGTAGAAGGGGTATGTTGAAGTGTGAGTTTATATGAAAAGTTCATGAATGTGTCATGATTTTTTTTTTTGCTGGTTTCCTCCTCCTCCTGTATTATTTTATGGTTTCTAGGCTTTAAATTAGTAATGTTTTACATTTAGTAGTTTTTATGGCATAATTTTTCTGTTACCTGAAATTCACCTATTAATTGTACCTTTGCACATCGTATGGTACACTCATAAGATATATGCAGTACGTGCCATCTGTTTGCCTTTACTCTTGCATGTTTCATGAACCATGACACATGTTTTTATTTGTCGGAACAGATACATACAGCCATCAGTTGCTATATGAACTGTTTACTGCATGAAAAGTACTATCTTCTGGGATGTGACAATGTATAGCTTGGTAGAAGTTCAGAGACATTTTGCTGGAATGTCAGGGAACTTGTAATGATTGTTGTGCATCATATCTCAGAAGATAGTGTTCCTTATAATCATGACTGTCACACCCTCAAATCCACCATATTTATTGCACCCTTTATTATTACTGGCATGTGTAGTCAAGTAATCTTTGGTCCAAGGTAAAATATATGCTGTGTCGAACTGACATCTAAAAAGAAAGGATGTGAATAGACAGGCTGACTTGCTTTGAAGGAGAATAAGAACAGTTTTTGCTCACTTTGAACATGTTCCTTCAGGTGGATGTTGTTTATGATGATCAAGATGAGGGTTTTTTATCTGCTGTGACTTCATTGGTGGCTTCATCGAAGCGACCAGTGGTATTGGTCACGAATGACCCACACTGCCCCCATCTGGCACGTTTTATGGATCTCCATCTTGTTCTTAAGTTCAGGGCACCGCCATCTGTGAGAATGAGTAAGTAGGTGGGCCAGTGAACTTTTCAGATTTGAGAAATAAGGGATGTCTGAAGGGACAGCTTTTGTTGAGTCTGTTACAGTCAGAAGTTGGGGCTATGTTGTGACAGGATGTATTTAAATTGTGTTGTGAGCTGTGCAGCTGTATGTTAGAATACAGCAGTAGCCCTACGTGTGTTGCACAGGAAAGTAGATAAGATTCTATGTCTCAAGCATGTTGCAAGGTAGGTAGCTATATGAAAGGAAAGTCCTGTGTGTTCAATGAAACCTCTGGTACTGCGATTTTCGTTCCTATTGCATTGTCACATTAATGACTAGGCATGGGATTTGGATTAATAATTATATTGAGCACCGATGACTTGTAACTATAACAATTTCATGGATCTACACACTACAAATCACTATTCCAAGCATTGAAGCTTCTATGTCTTCACCAGGTGTTGCTAGGTAATTGTTCCCAACAGCGGGTATTTTTTCTGCTCTTATTTTCATATTCTCGCTGAATGGCGACTGGCTTGCAGCTCCACATGATTGCATCTTATGGTCTCCTAGCCATCACTCTGTTCACTGGCTGTCACTGTCAAAGTTAAAGTTATGTTATGACCGATGGATGGTCAGTTGGCCAGTCTGTCTTGGTGTCAAGCCCCCATGTGGGGCCCAAGACCAGATTTTCGTTACTGACAGACAGTTGTGGGATGTCCTCTCTGACAAGAGGATGGGCCTTTCAGTTAAAATTGCTTCTGGCCCTTGCCAGCTTAGGCATTCTCAGGCTTGAGTCCCACGGGAGTCATGACCATATTTTACTGTCTCCGATTTGAGATGTCCCCAACCTGGAGGGCCAGGTCCCTGTATTTATTTCCCCCAGGAACAGGGTGGCCTGGTTATACCCCCAGGCACTGGGTTCCTTTTTCATCACCTATGACTCGCAGGGCTACAGTGGAGGTATTCAAATTTACCGTCACAAGGGGTTGACTCTATCTCCAGTTATCACTATTTGGAGGCTCTAGTTATATAGCCTCAGGACAGACCGTGTAGAAAACATCGTTCCCACCAATCTCTTCTTTTATTGTGCTTGTATCTGTTGCCATGGATACATGTTTATCGAGCTTTTACTAAGCAATGGCTGTCTTGTCATGTCACAGTATGTTGAAAATAGAATCTTAATATTCTAATGATGATGTAGTGAACTACACAACTATTTGATGATGACACCCTCAGAGATATTGTAACAGTGTGCGACATAGAAGGGTTACATTTTGAAAGTGCAGGACTGATTCTGTTGTATGTCAGTATCAAATGCTGTAGATATCAACTCTTTCTATTTTCACCCGCAGTTTCACTTGTGAGCAAACTGCTGTTTTGTGTTCATATGTTCAAACTGAGTTTTGTACTGTGGAGTTGCTGAAAGTTTTGATCAGTTTATATGCATCACATTCTACATGAAACTTGGAAAGACAGCTCCAGAAATCTACAGAATGCTTGAATCTGCAGCTGTAGGAAAACCGCTTAGCTGCACTGGAACAATTGAGTGGTGTGCTTGATTTTAAGAGGAGCGTAATTTCTTTCAAAGGTGATTCAAGCTTCAGGCTTCCATCATTTCATGCTGAGGAAACAGCCAGTTTTGACACATCATTGGAACAGATGGTCATTAGGTGTTTTATTTGGATATTCTGAAGCATCTAAGGGATGAGGTCTGAAGGAAATGGAAGTTGGGTTTGTTTGCTGCTTGCTGGGTTGTTTGGCTTTGAAGGTTGATGCAGTATGTTCCTTCAAAATTCCAATAAACTTCTACCACACTACACAGTGTCACATCGCAGAAGTTGGAAGTTGGATTCGTGGATGTTACATCACAACAATGCATTATGTTTGACCACACAGATACCCCACTGAATGTATTCACCAGATTTAGCACATAGTGACTTCTCTCTGTTACCCAAACTGAAAAACACCAGAAAGGGAAGGACTTGAGGAGGTGCCATCATTTATCCAAAGTCTAACATGGGAATTAGATTTGTGGTTTACCAAATGGCACTGGGACAGTTTTTTTTCCCCCCCGAGTTCTTCGGTTTCTCCTACCAATTCTCATTCAACCAACTGCTCCACACTCATCATCTATCATCTGGGGCAGGCACAATAGGCTAATTAGTGGCTGACATACCAAGTGGACTCGGTCTCACCCGATCTCAAGAAACTAAAAGAAAACTAAACATGGAAATTGAACATTGTCTTGGTTCTAAAGGAAGGATGTTGAAAGTGGTAATAAGGAGCAGAACAGCTGGAAGTGATCCAGGAATTTATTATCCACCCTTATATGGTTTGAAAGCAGGTGCAGTACTTTATGCATACATTCTGCAGGTATTGTGCATTAAAATTATTTTAATGAACCTTCCAGACCCTATGACTATGTGGATGGGTTGTAACCTGAGGTTTGAAACTATTTTTTAAGATTGGGAATGGCTTGATGAAGTTTCTGTTTCTATGCCTATAATGATGTCATTAAATAATCAACATTTCTCAGTAGGGGTATTATTAAACAATTAAATTATTATATGTGACAATTTCTGTTTGTTACTGTTTTCAGGTTTGTGGTTACAGTTGGTGTGTCTTTTGGAAGGTGTTTGGATCAGACATGCGGCGATTGGAAGGTTACTCGACCGCAACCGTGGTGATGTGCGTCAGACTATGCTGCAGTTACAGTTCTGGGTGCTAACTGGCGGGAATAACATGCCACGTACTGTAGAGATTCCCAACACAGCCATATCAGAAAACCCTGTAGCTCTGCAGGTCCCTGAAATTGATGTGGTAGATGATCATTCAAATTTGAGTTATATTTCTGGTGACGAAGCAGATGAAACCCCAATTGATGTCCCTGAACATGCTAACTGTACTGAAACATTTACAGAATACAGCGAAAAGTATTTTCAAAGTTGTCAGTTACCATTCCCATTGGATTTAGGTCTTGTTTGGTGGAATCTGGCTTCCCTGATATCCATACCAGAAAGTTTATATCAGGACAGAATTTGCATTAAGTCTCGTGAAGTGACAGGAAGCAAGACTTTGCATGAAGTTAAGACTGAATCTGATGATCTAGATTCTGTTGTGAAAGTGTCAGGTTGTGAGGTGACAGAGAAAGAAACAGAATGTGTCAGTATGACAGTATGTGAGAGAGAAATGAAGGATAGAATATCTTTGTTGGTTGAAGTTGGTAAAAGGAACAGTGGAGAGTCTGTTTTTAAAAGAGTTCATAATGATGAAGACACAAAAGGAAATTCAATTTCTGAACTTTTGGAAGAGAGGGGAGTGAGGAAGAACTGTTGTAGTCAGGCAGAGGCAGATCGCATGTCTCGGTTGATGGAGACGATGTCTGCAATAGATGTTATGTCATCTGCTGGTGCTGGTAATAGGGAGCCTTGCTATAGGACTTGGGATCAAGTTCCAAAGGATGGAACATCTTTGACTGAAGGGGCCCAGTGTCGATGGTGGGAGAATTCAGTCTCGAGGGTTCTGTGCCACTATCTCCTAGAGGGTAATGTGCATAAGTGCAGAACAAGTCTTCAGAAAACGGAAGGATGTTATGTTGATGTGCAGGTTACTAAAGCAACCTTTACAAAGCCAACACAACAGGAACTCTGGTAAGTACTGAGTGGAGGACATTTGATATCTTTGTTATACACAATCCCTGCCAGGTAATTCTATATTATTATATTAACTTCAACTGGCAATGGAAGTTACGTCTGCCAACTTACGCAATACGATGCACATCCTACATAACCTGATGATGCATGCTGTTCTAATTAACTTGAGATACAGTAAAAATATGATATAACTTGGTTATTAATAAATACACGTGTAACAGCAATGCTGGTGTGTTGTGTTGTAAAGTGTCTGTTAACCTTTAATGACCGAAGTGCCCCGTTCATGCCACTGATCAGTATGGTCGTCGTGGCCAAAGTACCCCGTTTTGGCCAGTCGGGCATTTAAACTCTGCTAGTGGAAGCACACGCACAGTCCTAAATATTTTTAAATGTCGTAACTACCAGACAGATTTGAGTAAAACCCTAATAGAGGATAAAATGATACCTAAGTGAACAACAAGAAAAAAAGTATATGTAAGAGTCATGCCCAACCTCATCCACAAGCCAGTACTTTTATTGCAGATTGTGCAGATTGTGTTAACAATATATAGTAAAATTCAACGTACATACCTCTTTTGTTGTTATCTGCTTGATGTATATTAGGCTCCGCCCCCTGCATCATCTAACTAAATCTTGGCTTTGTGTGGTATTCTTTGAAGCACCCGAGAATGCACAGGCCTACATCACATATCTCGCACTTTGTGTGGATTCTTCTCCTCTTCCCACGTGCAGAACAAATGTGGCAGTTCAGTCTCTTGTCTGACTGGATTGGCCAGTGGTCTCAATTGGCCTTCTCTAGGCGATATATTGTAGATGAAAGAGCAAGAGGTCGACCTGAGGGCCCCTGGTGGCGAGGGCGACACGTTGCAGCATGTTGCACACAAGGGTTAGACAAAAGTCTCTGTGTGATATTTTCACACAGGATGACAGCAGGTTCAGTATCATCAGATCTAGTAAATGGAAGAATAGTTTCTTCGTCCATTTCCAAGTCCGACAGCTGATGGAATAACTGTTTGTCATCCTGTCTGCTTTGTCAACATATCCCATGTGCATTTATGTCTTGTGATAGGCCCTTCCGATTTGGTCCGACTGTCCCGCAGCAACTTATTTCTTCTCCATCAGTTCATCAAACAAGTCTGGTGATGATAAGAAATTGTCCATATACAGTTTGTGCCCAACCCCCTCGACTCTTTAGCAGAGGTCCCTGACCGTTGCATGTGTCGCTGTCACTTCTTGGTCAGTGCATGTTCTGTCTTTACCTAAGTAAACCTTCATGTCGTATGTATAGCCTGCTGAATCAGAGAGCTTGAAGATTTTGATTCCGAAACGTTTGTGTTTCTTAGGAATGTATTGTCTGAAAATAACCCTCCCTTTGAATTTTACAATTATTTCAACAGCCAGATCCTCCGAAGGATTATAATATTTTTCATATCCATCATTTAGAGTGTCAAAAATAGTCTGAATTTTCCATAGTCTGTCACAATTGTCGGCTTGTCTGTCAATTCCTGCATTGTTGTCTGTAAAGTGAAGGAAGCTAAGAATGTGAATAAATCGGTCGTGTTTCAATGTCCTACCATAGAAAGATGTGAGAAATTGCTCAGCATTCGCCCAGTAGTCTCTTATTCAGTCTCTAATGTCATGGCCCATTTGAATAATGATCCCTAAAAAAAGAAACATTTCAGAATCGGTAATGTTAGGGAGTGGAGAAGGTCTGTCTTCAAGGCTGTGGAGATATCTGTTAGTCTCTTCCACCAGCAGATGGATATTTCCTGTGAAGAATAACATGAACACGCAGAGTGGAGTGGAATTCTTATTCACATGTGAAGCTTCGTTAAGATTTATCCCCACTGCTCCACCAGAAAACTTATTCGCACCCTTCCTGCCATGCTGTTGTGGTGGTCCCCATGATGATGATTATGATGATGACAATGATGATAGTGATGTTGGCAGTGGCTGCATGAGTTCTTCATCATCCACATCTTCGTAGCCCCAACCATTATCTTCATCTTCTGTGCAGCAGTCCAAATCAGAATTGAATATCAGTTGCCTTTCAATTTCATAATTTTCCAAACGTTTCATTGCCATGGTAAGATGAAATGAAACTACAGAATTGGATTTCACTATGACTGCACAGAAAACAGACCGCACTTTGTATCTCAGCCACGTTGCAACTGTCTGTTCATGACCATAGAAAGGGCGATAATCTCTTGCAGCTATAACGGAAGGTCTCAGCACTGAAGAAGGGACTGTCAAATTGTTCCTTCTACTTTTTCTTGAATAGCCATGCTTTCATTCTTGTGTCCTTTAGTCAAAAGATTAAAAAATCCGAAGAGTGTAAGCAGTGCTAGCAGAAGGCCAGATGATTGTATTGCTTCCATCTGTTTTATGACACCAGGGACTGCTAAATTTGGAAACGATTTTTACAGTACGCATCAAAATTAAAAGAAAAAATTGAAAATAGAATATAACTTTTGTATAAAATTTGTGTTCTTTGCTGATACACACAAAGTTAATTCCATCCATTTATCACAAAAATTGGGTTAGATATGGCATTTTTAAACACAGTGCTTGTTTAAGTGCCCTAACAGGAACAGACATTTAAATGCAGAGTAGGAACAGGCATTTAAACACGCACCAGCAACGGGCATTTAAATAAACTCCAGCCAGCTCAAGCTTACCACCATTTGTGAAGTCCAGTGTTTAAAGGTTAAATAAACCTGTACTCTTCGAAGTCATTAGGCACAGTTCAGTTACCGTCAGCTAGCCGGTTTTACCCCTTGTGATGTTGTATTTTGAAATCTTGTCTATCTCAGATTGAAGTTTCATGTAGTCTTGTAGGCGAATACTGATGTTTCTGAAGAACATGCCGACTCCATCTTCAGGTTTGATATGTGTAGTGTGAAGGGTTGGTTCAGCATACAAGACGGGTTGCTAGAAAAGTGGTCTGTCAGAGCCACAGAAGGAGTAATGATAATACAAGGTGGTTCAAATATGACCGGGACTGATTTTTTTAAAAATATAATTGCCAAACAATTGCACATGTCAGTCTTCAACGTACTCCCCTCCGGAGTCTTATTTTTTCCAACGTTTTGGAAGCATTCTGATGCCCTTTTAAAAAAAGGTTTGTAGTTGGTAGCATATCCACTCCCAAACAGTCTGGATGACAGCGTCATCTACAAACTGCATGCCTTGCAAGTCTGATTTGAGCCTTCCGAACAGGTAGAAATCACTTGGGGCCAAATCGGGACTGTACGGCGGATGTGTCAGAAGGTTCCATTTCAGTTTCTGGAGGGTTTCCATTGTTTTTGCTGTATGGGGGTGTGCATTGTCTTGAAGGAAGGATACCCGCTTTCCACCTTTCTTCCGCTTGGATCGGATCTTTTCCTTCATGTCTGTTGCCAGGAGGTCTGAGTAATAAGCTGCATTGACTGTTCTGGCATCTGTCAGAAAGTCTACATGGATAACCCCCTGCTAGTCCCAGAAGAACGTTGCCATCACTTTTCCTGCTGAGCCGCTCCTCCGCGCTCTCTTGGGTTTGGGAGAACTGGTATGCCGCCACTTGCATGATGACTGCTGTGACTCTGGAATGAAGTAGTGCACCCACGTTTCATCGATGGTCGCTATAGACTTCAAAAATACATCACCTTCGTCTTCAAACTGCTTTAGGAGACGACTGGCAGCTTGCATGCGCACCATTTTGTTCACGTCTGTCAAAGTGCGTGGTACCCACTGTGCATTCACCTTGCGATAGTGCAGGTGGTATTTCACGATGTCTTCTACGCTACCAACACTGATGGACAGCATTGCTCCAAGTTCCTTGATAGTGATGCACCTAGTCTCACAAATAAGCACATCTGCATGATCAATGTTTGGCTTGGTGACGGATGTTCGCAGCCGATGATCATTCAGTTCATTCTCCACGCGCTCTCTGCCCTCTCTGAAGCACTTACACCACTCAAACACACGGGTCTGTGAGAGACACTCTTCCCAGTACTGTTGTTGGAGTCTGTGGTGAATTTCAGCGGACGGGATGTTTTCTCCAATGAGGAATTTGATCACAGTGCGTTGTTCCACGCTCCGTGGTACCTTCTGTTTACTCATTACTCTAGCAACTCCCAGACAGGACTGAACAGGTTCTAACCCGAACAGGAGGGAGGGTGGAGGTTGTGGCTTCACTCTCTGAAGGTCGCACAGCTGCTGTGCAGTGCGGCTTGTTTACACACAAATCAGTCCCAGTCATACTTGAACCACCTTCTAGTAAGTGAGCAAATGGCCCCTTTTGTAGAAAACACAGTATTGTCTTTATCAGCCTTTGCTGTTGGTTCACAGTTCTCTCTGCCATCAGAATGCAGTCTGTGTCAAGTTACTGTATGACCCTCTTAGGTATATTCCTTTGTGCTGTTCTCATGTTGAAACATTGAGAGTTTTTTTGTTGCAGGTGGCGATCGGTACAGCATGCTGCAGATGATACAGTCTTACCTGCAGTGCCACTCTGGTGTCGTCCTGATCACCATTCTGTGTCTTGTGATTACATTCCGATGTTGCGAACTGTTTGTCGTTATGAGCAAGATCGCCTTGCCTGTAATACGAAGCGTCACAGCAGGTTCTTTCACTACCTCAAGGGTCTCAATGTGCATGTCAGTGATGCAACTTGTAGTACACTGTGTGCTGTGTTTGCTGACACACATACAACATAGTACCAGAGATGTAATTTTAATTGTAAATTTAGTGTGATATTTTACTGACATTAATGTGTGAATGATAATTTTAAAGGAATTGGTATGTCATGTCAGATATCAAAACAGAAATCTTGGTAAGATGAGTGTAATCAGATAAACAAGGGAATGAACTTATTGTCACATATGCAGTGTTGTCGTGACGAATAATTGTGGGTTCTAGATTTGATGATTGGATATATTGGGCGTCTCTATTACAATCACAGTTGATTATAACAGTTCACATATTGAACTCCTTGATAACGAGACTCTCTCTGTTGTCTCAGTCTCGGACTGGTCTCTAGTCTCTCGAATTCTCGCTCTGTACTTGAATTCATGAATCCACGGCCTTTTATAAAATGCCTGAGAACCTGATAGAGATCACCGCCTCCAAAGGGTTTCCATTCTTCTCTTTAAGAATGTGTTGTGTTGGAAACCATGTATTTATTCCTAAGCAACTGTTTCGTTTCTAAATGTTTACAATTTGTTACCTGGTAGTGCTTCATTCACCACTGTATATTTTAATGGGAATGTGTCTCTGTCCATTGCTCAGCAATGGACATCTGGCTGTAGCTCCACTATTCCAGCTTTAGCCGTCATGTCACAATATGTAGTACCTTCATGCAGTCACTTTTGTTTGCAGGAAATTGAGGTGATTTGCCTCTATTGAAATATTTTGGATAATTTGTTGAGAATATGGAGACCCATCCAGTGCGTACAGTAATGAGCCTTCAGGTTCCACAAAGGTTGGGGAATTTTTTGACCAGCTTAGTTGACCGCTGTTCTCAAACAGTACCAAGTCACCATTATATAACTTTTCATAGATACTATGTAGGGAATTTTCCGTTTGTGTTTTTAAACTTCTTTAGCAATTTGCTGTATTCTTGAAAACAGCCCTGAACATGACTGACTCACCTGGTAAGATTTGAGGCTTTCATGACAGTAAAAATATGGAGATATAACAGGATGATCTGGTGGCCTCCATCTTCAGGGTTGTAAAGAATAAGGCTATGGTATAGTAGGTCATTTCCAGTGTTTCTAAGAGACCTGCCGCCTCCATCTTCCAGTTATAATCCAGAAGACTGCAGTCTGTTTTTTCATCTAATGTCATATGTAGCTTGTCAGGGTTTCTGCCTCATCAGCTGTAAGAAGCACATCTTTTTCTACTGTGTCATTTTCCGTAAGTTGGTGAATAGCCTCTGATGCTGACCTGTGCACGCAGTGTATAATGGAGATATTTTTATTTGATGTATGAGTGTTAATATTTTTGTAAACAGAAAATTCTTCTGAAGGATGTTCTGTATACTGAAACTTACTGATGAAACAAAATGATGTTATTGTACAACATTTTTATATAGAGACTTATTTCTGAATAAAGACATGATTAAATAAAATTAAATCTTTTTTTCTGAAATGTTGTCAGAGCTCATTCTGCCAGCATACTTAATTTAATAATATAATTAATAATTATTTTTTCTTGTTCATTTTACCCTGATCAGCTAACTACATAGTGAAGAATCACATATTACCTGCCAGGTTAAGAATCATAATTCTTTAGTTTTGAAAAGAGGTTTCCCACCTGTTAAATTTCTTCAGGTATTTGAGGATTAGACAGAAACTTGCATGTATGTTTTGAAACTTGGGACAAGAGTAATTGAAATAATCATATGTGCTTTAAAACATAACATTTATACAAAAAGAATTGGCATCATTAATTTTTTAATGCTCTGCAAGGTGCATTCATGTTTGAAAAATATTAATTTTTTATGAATGTGTAAGAAAACTTCTGGAAGTGTGGATGAGAGTGAATCCCACTTTTCTTGCCCCACAGAACCCTTTTTTGGTGAAATCATAAACTAGTTAATTTAAATTGTATTTGCCAGCACATAAGGCTGACAACCTCACTGCCATCTGTGACCCAGTTGTCTTAGAAAATGTGGGAACCTCGACATCTCACAACCCTGTATGCCTCCACGGCCTGTTACAGGGATAGCTTTACCTATCTTACCTTTTTGTAGAATTCCACAAGTGTAAAATTCGTTTTACTCACCCTGTGTATAGTTATATACATGGAAACATTCTGCACAATGGATTTTTACTTTTCATTATAAACCCTAACATCTGTATACTCAGTATTCTGTATTAAAATTTAAATTATGAAATTGTTCATATTTATTTTTTTCAACTATAACACTATCCATTTTGGGTAGTGAATTATGGGTGATTAAGGAAAGATATGTAAACAGAACAGTCAGTAGAGATGGGACATTAAAGAACAGCTAAAAGCTGTGCTAGGCAACACCATATTACACCTTTACTTGGTGAAGACAAAGTTCTTCCTGTGCATATTTAATTTAATTACATACCACATACCTAGGCACTATGTAGACATAGATGAGTGGTCAGCCATATATCCCAATTGCTGTACTGCTGGTATTGATTGGATAGGCAGCCAAATATATTAGAGAAGGACTGAAGAGAAAATAAACCATAAAGGTAAATAGATTAACAAATAAAACTGAATGAACAATATTAATAGAATGACTGCTATTGCAAAAGACAGTATGAGTATGTGAGGTCAGTTCAGGCTTGATTGCCTATGTTAAGTGAAGAAAAAGAAGGCTGTGTATAATATATTTAAAAGTGTACAATTAATCATGGAATTATAATCTAAATTTTGTGTTCCTTCCCAGTCATTTCAACATCTGTGGACTCCATTACATGTCAGTATTCCCTTCAGACAGCTGCATATCTACACGCATACCTCTTGTGCATCCACCTGTGCATTAGCATTGACATTTCTGAGGAGCTTCGTCACATTGATTTGAATTAGGTGTGCTTCTAACATCAGAACACTGTATTCTCCTGCATATTTGATGGATCTTGGTCAGATTGGGTTAGGTGGGTGTACCCACTTGCACATTTGGTTTTGAACATGGTCATACGCCAGTCTTGTGGCTACGCTACTGGCTAGCGCAAACTGCGGCAGCTCATGAATGGATGAGAAGCCAGCATGGGGGGATGAAAGGTTGGGGCTCGATGATGACAGGGAATTCTCTATGGTGGTGGGGATGGGGAAAACACTGTCACTGGGGACTCCCCTGTGGCACCATGGAGGCCACTTTAATGCGGGGAACGCCATTGTGGCTCTGAGGAAGCCACTGTTAGACAGGGGACACCTGCGTGGCACTTGAGGGCGCTAATGTAATGCCAGGATCCCCACTGTTGTGAAGGGACCCTCTGGCGGCGCCGACGCCACTGTCGTTCCAAGGACACAGTGGGGCCGAGAACGCCTCTGGGGAGCCACCGGGGTCGCTGCAATGGCGCCAGAGACATCACTAGAACTGTCGGGCGAACGTTAACTCACCCACAATCTCCACACGACCTGCAAAACGACACGCCTCTGCTGCTAGTTCGACTTTAGCCGCTAGATGCCAGGCTCACGTGTGTTGATGTCAGTCTGACTCGTTCAGACGCCATCCTGGCGCGACTAGTGACACCTACTGTGTGCAAGATGAATCCAGTCCACACACACTGCTACCTACTCGGTATTGTAATCGGTCTCTTTCTTTCCAGTCTTCCGATCAAAACTTCGTACGCATTTCTTGTGTCACCAGCTGCAGGCTCATAATGTAAACAAGTAACCCGAGACATGGACGGCGTTCCAAAAAGCATTTTCTTTTTCGCATTCAGGAAGGTTAAGAATATATGAACCCTCTCTTGTCTCTTCCTATACTTTCAACTTATTCTTTTTAACCTCATCTTCTTCATCTCCTCGCTTCTCCTTCAATCACACGGCGTGCACAATTGAGCATTCACGGCCTGATAGAGTCAATAAAGGGAGTTTATTAAGAATGATATTTTTTTGATGTGACGCCTTATAGTCCGACAACAGTTCATAGACGTTTCTCAGGACCTTAAAGTAAGCTAACAAGCAAGCAGAATGCTTGTTCTGCTGTTCGAGCCTGAAGATGGAGGCAGTATGTTCCTCCAAAACGTTAGCGAACTACTAAACTACACTGCATCACATCCCAGAAAATAATAATCCTCACAGTTATTACTATGAGAACCCCATGTACCATTTTCAACATATTTGGTGCTCCATAAAATTATTACAATGTCTGTCTATGTAATTGCGATACATCACAGGCAGTCTGACCGTTACAGCTGCAGCCTCGAAGCCGAATAATACAGATCGCGCTTATCATGCCCTCTGGCGAGTATCAACAGCACCAAACTTTCCCGTATAGTGAATATTACATTAGCGAACTTTGGCAAAAAGCCAAGCATCCGGCTACCCGACAGATTCCCTGGATACATAACATCTCTCTCCGAATTCATATCCCAGCGCAAGATGTGTTGTGAGATATCGCTAACGTTTGCCTGCTCTGACTCTGGGGCCTGCCGTTTTGCTAGGGCAGGAATGAAGATACCCTAAATGGTGATAGGCCGATATTATTTACTTTTTATCTTTAGATGTGGGTGTAAAGGGCCGTTATATCTGAGAACGTGGATAACGGAACAGACTGATTGGAGATTTGTTTTTCAAAGTTCTTGATCTTGCGTCGGAGCGGCCATTTTGTCTAAAAACAAATGAGTAGTCTAACCTTACTGTAACGAAGCTTCTGATTTCCTTCCATGATGTTTATTTTTATAATTATGTACTTTTAAAATGAAATATATCTGTATATAAAGAAATGTTGTAAGCATAAAATTCATCATTGTCGTTGTGTAATTTCGGGTTACCACTAAAACATACTGTGAACGTTAACTAGTTGCATGAACTTAAGTTACGTAGTGGACAAGAACGAGTGTCCAATATTTTGTTCCATTGCCTCGTGTATTTTCTGCGACTATCGATACTATTGTGATTCAGATATATGAAGTGTAGTATCAGGCATGCTAATCACGAAAATTCCATTAAAGAACTTGGTAGATATCTTTTATTTCTCTGCATGCAAAGCATACAAACCGCTTATGATGCAACTGAAGAATAACTAAA